ACCGGCCATGGCAGTCGCAATCGCGTCGGCCAGCTCGTCTGCGGAGGGGTTGGGTGTTGGGCGCCCAGGATCTTGCTGGTGTGCTGCCTCTTGTTCCTCATTTCCTCCCCGCTGCTGCTCGGCTCGATGCCGCACCTCCATCTCGGCCATCTTCTTGGCCAGTTTCTCCTCCATCAGCTGCTCCATCCGAGCTGCTACTCGCTCGTTGACCAGTTCTTCGATCCTGGCGTCCTCCGCTGCTTGGCGGGCTTCCGCTGCTGGGCGGGATTCATCTTCGCGCCTGGAGGCCATCTTGACCCTGCTGTCGATCGCCGCAAGGCGATGCTCCTAAACCAAGCTCGACCGCGAATCTCGTAGACGACGTGTCATACGCTAGCGTGATCGATAATTCGGGTGGCTCGGTTCTTTGTGGTTGGAGCTCAAAGCGGGTGGCTCATGGCGGAGCGTGGATGGGTAGGAAACGTGTTGAAAACGTAATGCAAAAGTATTGGAAAGTATTGTATTCATCGGGGGCGTGCCAGTGCTCGTCAAACCTTCACGGTATCTGGGCACGCCTTCACTCTTTGTCACTCAACGAATCTCTCTGAATCTCCACCAAATACCTCTCGCAACCAAGGAATATATGTAGAAAGTTCCTGTCCCTCCGCATCTCATCACTGTTACTTTCGTACGTACGTACCGGACATCTCAACCGTCATACTATGCTACGAGTACTCCCAATATATCTAATACACTCCGTCGAGGATATGTTGGGTGGGGCGGAGAGCGGCACCACCCCCTCTCCGCGGGAGAGGTGGTTCCGGTCCTCGACCCAACGGGGTCGCCGCCACGCTAGAAAAAATTCAAGGGCAGGTGCCGCACATGCCGGTGAGCAGCCGCTGAAAAATCAAACTTCGGTGACTGCTGTGGTTGAGGTTTTCGATCCGGCGGGGGGGGAGTATTCGCTAGACTTCGACAGCTTTGGATTGGGATAGAGCAAGGCCGTGTCGCTCATGGAGGAGAGCAAGAGCAAAGTGATTCCCATCTTCCTGGAGACGGCCAGACTCCAGGGGCAGCGCACTGAAAACGTGAGTGCCACCCCCTTCTTGTCGAACATGTTATCATGTTTTTTTCTTAGAGAACGCTAATATTTTCACCGTGACCAGCTTGCGAAGTGGGTGTCCCGAAGTAGTCTCTCTCGAGGTATGCTCTTGCTTTTATGGTCATACGTGCCTTCCATGCCGATGTACCGGTGACGTTGACAGGCACCACGAGCACGTGAACACGAGAATCACGTTACAACCTGTCCGGGGTCAAGACGCCTCCATCAGGAGGCACCGTCGAAGGCCTTTCTGGTGGTCTTGCTTGACCTTGGATTCTGGAGGCGTCGGAGGGAGTTCAGTTGCCGGAGCAGCTGCCCTCCACTCCACCATTTGTTCGTGGTTCTGGGGCTCACGGGGCATCAACGAGAAGTTGCAATGTTGGCACCCCCGCGAAACACTACCTAAAATAGTTTTGGTCGGAAACTTAACCCAAAAATGTACCGTGCCAGATCTTGCACCATGTGACCGTGAAACCGTCGCAGCGAAATGCAGTAAGGATATCTAGCGGTGTGAATCGGCAAGTAGCAGACCGGAGTTGCTATTTTTTTACCCCTTTTAACGGCGACGATGCGGATAGACCGAACCGACAACCGGCGTGTGTGGGGATTAGACAAAGGAGATCATGCGTAGATATATCCGTTCCGAGAACACGACTGCAGTTGGGGAGAGCAGGACAGGTATGACAGAGCGTTTTGCGAAATGTGTGGGGGGTTGGATGTGATGGAGGTGGCAGGAATTCTTCAATTTTATGTTGAAGCCCCTTCGTACAGCTGCCCGGCGTGATGTCTGTCTTAATTACTGGTGATCTTTGATTTCTTTGTTCAAGTATGTTTGGCATCGCGTGCCGAGCGGAATATATGAGCTTTGGACCATGCGTTTATTTGTATATCTCCTTTATCCCCGTTTGGTCACCAGCGATGGCCGACTAGTGTTTGCCTGGGACGTTTTGATGTCTTCACGCTTTTGTGTGCTCTTTTATTTTCGCTGTTTTATTTTTGTGATTTCAGGGACCCCTTGTTTTTCTGCTTTCGGTGATTGAGAATTGTGCACCCTTTTTGGGCAGTTGGCTTGCGACGACGGAAGGCGTCCGCATCACTTGGAACTGGTACGGATGGTAGATGGTATTCGTATGGATGGTAGATGGTACCGGGGGGGTGGTTTACAACGCGAAGAAAACTAAAAACCTCAGTAAGTCTCTTGCCAGGCAGGCGTGAATACTCTTCGAAATTGTATCTAAAATGCCCCGAAATGAACCCAGAGAGATGCCCGCAACAAGTCCTATGCCCTTCGACAAGGTCAGGCAGCCCAACGGTTGATTTTGCCACCCCAATCATCGAAAGAATAGCGCCACAAAAGCACCCTACGGAGGCAAAACATTGCGCGCGCCGAAACGCCTCATTCCATTTTTGGCGCTTCGCGCCAAAATTATTTTATTTGCTTGGCCAGGTACGATCATGGTTGTGCAGCCGGAAATATGCTACCGCACTGAAGCAGAGCAACCCCCTCCATAGCGTTAGCATGCCAGCTGGGAGCACAACGATTTATCCGTCCTTAATGGATCTGTGCAAGTCTGTGACACCAAGCGACACTGATAACATGCGTAGCTCACATGGTTCGACATGATGACTCATGTTAGATAACGACAAGAAACAACTACCCTGGAACGGCTGAGCTCGGCCGTCGGCCAGGAGACACAAATTACGGCAACAGCGAGTACGCATCGGATTTCACTTTCTCCGCAAGTGAATGAGGATGAAGAAACGACGAGTATCTACGCCGAAGGGATCGCCGCGGAAAAATTCCCGTCCACACGATGTACATCCGAGCTGGTTTCGTCCCGCGGGAAGGCCAGGTCCCCGCTCCGCGCGCTTCACAGCAGCCGTCGGTTGATCAGACACGGGCTCTCCGTGACCTTGGACGCTAGCTAGCGCACGAAGAGCGTGAACAAGGAACATACACACATTATTTCTTTTGTGCAACGGCATCTCATTGATCTGTCTTGAATCCGGAGACTACATAGCCTCCCCCATTACGCCCCCCCACGGGGTCCCAGATCATGGCCCTTTAGAAGCATTTTGGTATTTGGTGTGGTCAACCGCACTGAGACTGACGTACTTCATTGGCCAACCGGTGAGCATGGTCGATGTTAAAATAGAAACACACACATAGGAGTGTAGACTGCGATTTTCTGAGTACATATCATGCATTGTAGGACTGGGTGAGGACGTCACGTCGAATACGAAGTGTACGTAAGTTTTTCCTTCCATGGATGATCTGCTGCTGATCGTCATCTCCCTTACACCACAATGGGCATGTTGTAACTGTCACAATCTGAATACTTTGTGACCCAACCTGAGGCCCTGAAAAGCGTTAGTTTCTTGGGGGCGAGGTGCTACCGGGGGGACCAATAACGTGATTGGTCAGCAAGGAAAAACACGAGAAGGCTTTCTCTTCCCAGAAAAGCGGGGTTTAGGTGTTGAGCAAACAAATTTGCAGAATGATTGAATATTTCAGAACCGAAATTCCTGAGTTGGCGTCGCCCCTTTCGTATCCCCCATGATGAACTGAAATCGAGCTGGCGTGCCCTGAGTGGACCGTCTGTGGCGCACTGGCCGTGCACCACCCATACGGTCACCTACTGCCCACTCCTGGGAAATAGCTGAACTGCATTGATTATTTGAGCGTGTCAAGTTTCGCTCAAGGTGGGTTGCTGTGGAGGTTGTCTTCCCGAAATGTGCGATGTCGAAGGCCAACCGCCGGTTTTGTACAGCGAGACAGTCAATAGAGCAAAGCCTGAGGATGAGACTTGGACCACTGCCACCACCTCCTGATGCCTAGCTTCGTGTGTGAGCTAAAGCAACACCTTGAAACAGCTCCCGTGTGGTGCGTATGGTCTATCGCTCTGCCTGTTTGGCGACTACGTCGTCGCTTCATGGCCGCGACTCCGTCGCATATATTTGGGCGTTGCTGAACCTCGATTCGGCATGTGAGTGTGGCAAATATCGTGAAAACGACGCAAGTCTTCTGTTTGGGCAATAAACCCATTATGGTAATCCAAATTGGGTGTTCACATCAGGTGCAACGTTTGACGTAGTGAAGGTCGTGATCACCTGTGTCGAACAATTCGAACCGCTCCAACACACCGTACAGTGGTTGTGGGATGGTAGGACCAGAAGCTAGTGAAGGATGTCTTGGGAGAGATGACCCAATAATGAGGTTATGGGGCTGTAGGGGTCCCAGGAAATCACTCTCGTCTCTTCAAGTCAGAAAGCGATGTGACTGCCATGATCGACTTTCGTTTAGCGTTCTACTGCGTTGTTTCCGAATGCGCCTGGCTCCGACATGTTGCTGACGTCAAGCCAGCCTTGTAGTTGTATCATGGACATTGTTATCATCACAAAGCGTTACAGGGCTCGTGTTCCGAGCTTTACCCGGCTGTTGAAGCGGTAGCGGTGGTGTTGCAGACGTTTTGTTGTTGGAGACATGCGCGGCAGATAAGAACAACATGTGTGTCGGTTCACCAGGGCACGCCTTTTGGGCTCATTCCATCCCGTTCATGGTCTCCTTCTCATCGTGTGCACCTTCACACAAACCGGCCCTCCCAACCCAGAATCCCCAATTATTATGCCTCGTCCCATTAGAAAACGAAATAAGCACTACCCAATATTCTACTCGGTGGACAGACTACCCGCACTGGCTGGCCCACATTTACACAGAGCTACCACGCAAGACGTCAGAAGCGGCGGCATTCAATCAATGCAATGTGTAACAGGGATGCCAAGGCTCGCAGGCTCGCAGACTTGCGCCTGTGCATTCACATAACAAATTCCTTCATAGACAAATAATGAATCCAAGTTGTCACCCTCAGTTGACAACTATTACGCACCGTGAAGGCGAGCATTGATTGTAGACTATGACTCAGCAGCGTGGTTCGAACCGAGTGTCCTCGATGTCTTCCACGAACACGGTGCTCGTGATCACCTCGTGCCCGTCTGAGCACCTGGTGCACTTGATGCCGAGCTCGGTACCACCGAACGACAGCTGCATAGACACTCCCCGTTTACGCATGGGGACGGACATGTCCATGGGAGCAGAGACGGTTTTCAGAAGGCTCAGCTGCTTGTCCACCCCGTTGTCCTTGAGGTACTTGATGCCCGCCTTGGGCTTCAGTGAAATACACACGTCAAACGAGACGGCCGTCTGTTCATTGGTCAAGGGGTAAAACGTTTCTTCTTTGTCCGTTCCCACTGGCAGGTCGATCCCTTTTTCGACATAGCAGCTGAACGTGTCGAGGTACAAGGCACCACCGATATAGCGGGCGTGCTTCATACGCTTGGTATGCTCCGGATTGTGTTCATCGTAATCGGTCATCGTCTTGGTGCCGTATGTCAGGCGTGCCTTGCGAGACACAATCGTGGAGTCGCTAGTCCCATACCGCGCTGCCCCAAGCACCTGGTGATGAATCGAATTACCGATTTGGCGTTGAGGGAGAATCTAGCGAAACAGGGGCAGGGGGTAGTCTTGGGCGGCCGCTACAGAGTCAGGGACCGCACCCACCATTGGCGTTTCGAAGTTACACGGGCGTGGTGTGCGAGCATCGATTTCTTGTTGCTGAGCAAATGAACATCGCGAGATACGGAATGGCGTTACAACTCGACCTGGTCACGATCGTACCAGGTGTGTTACACAGATTTTGAGGTGACGGAGCGCGCGCGAACTTGTATCCAATCAGAGGCTTTGTATTCGTCGGAGTATGGTCGAAAAGCTCAAACGTTTTCTGCGACTAAATTAACTGTGACTCACGGTCTTGAATGGGTACTTCCAACAAGTTAAAACAGGGACACAAAGCAACACTGAGAGCTTATACCGATGGTACAAAAGAGATTGGTTGCCTGTGATTGGCACCGACGAAACACACTCACAATGGCTAGGCCCGGCCTCTCCACCACTTCCACGCGGAGACCTGGCTGTTGCACCGCGGCGGTGACATGTTCTTGCAGCAGAGGGCTTGCAGAGAATCCTCCGACCATGTAGACGACGGAGATTTCCGGCTGTCTTGCCAGCACCGTCTGGGTGGCCTTAATGATCTCGACCATGGCCTCTTTGAAGAAGTTGCTCACCAGTTCCGGGGTGAGCGAGACCCTCCGCCCCATACCCTCAGCTTTCGCCTGGGGCCGTCGAAATCGGCATCGATGCAGAGAGGCACAGATTCAAGAACAAATAGGGCAAAACTATATTTTGAGCTCCAATAGAGAAGGTGTACCAGGTATCATGCTTATTCGCGCAACAATCGCTGTGCTGTGCGAATTCTACTTGGTCGGATACGAACGCTTCAATTTTGCCATCATTGTGTTTTCTGAGACTCGTTGGCAGCGCCCCAACTCTTCGCGCGCAAGGTGAAAAGGTCAATGCGATCAACCGTTCAAGATATGTAGTTGCTCTGGCAGATATAGTTCTAGGGTACAACGTGTAGAGGCGAGCAAAGGGCCTAGACTGTCTGTCGCGGGGTCCATTTTATTTTCGTATACGTTTTTTGGCTAGGTTTGCCTGTGACCACGTGAGTCAACCTTGTCAAGTGTTTGACCAGTACGGACAGAAGAAGGTACTGGATAGAGACAAGGGAAGGGATTTTTATAAGACAACAACAACAACAACAACAACAACAACAACAACAACGACATGTGGTCTTTGGAACGATCGCGGCAACACTGTACGGGCAACCACACGGATCTGAGCAAGGTAGGGTAGCGTGGGGACCCCGCGGGGGAAACTTCGTAGTTGCAATGCCTCGCACCGGCGCTCTTGATCCTGTTTTGAGGCGTACCGTCGATGTCTCGTTGAACTGCTTCCGTGAAGCCTCGCAGTCCTTGACGCTCATGCCGACTAGATCAAGCATTCCAGCGATACTGATCCAAACGTTTTTTCCAGGGTAGTGGTCCGTTTTCTTGGCCTCCCAGTCAGCCATCAGCTCGAACATCTCAGTTGATTTGTCCAGCCTTGCCCATTGCTCATCGGTACAACGGAGCAGCTCCTGCCGGTGTAGACAGAGGATTGGCGTCGGGGTAGCAACTAACAACAGCCAAGTCTACTTGATGGAAAGCTTGACCAACTACTGTACACCAAGCGAAAAAACGAAAGAGTCAATTCCTGCGAGAACGTGCGATCGCAAATGTACACGAACTGTAGACGACGACCCGCCAAAGCTGGGTACCACAACCGCGCGCTAGGCAACGCTTCTCAGGCAGGCAAATAATGTTGGGCTTTTTCTCGATTCCAAGGACTGAGTGGTGCTGGCTTTACATTTCGGATATTGCAGTTGTTACTCAACACACTACACGCCAGTTTGTTTTATTGCTCAATGGAGCCATCAGACCTGATGTTTGAGGCATGCACAACATTGCCGCCCCGGCTATCCCGCGAGCTCTCGTTGCCTTTGACACTTTTGCAGTTTGGCCAGCAAGGTACCACCTGCGAGCACTCAGTGCTTCCTAGTTGACAACGTACCTCATTATTCTACGAAACTATAACAGTGCCGCCAGGGAGGTCGATAGACTACGGAATGGGTTACTAAGGCTATTGGTTTTTTCCTCCGCCCAACGACATGTGAAATCTATCTATAAGGCGTTGACTGCTCCAACTGTGCTAGACGTGGTCGCAAGGATACTCACATGGCTGATTCCTGCGAATTAGCCACAGTAGGTAGGAAGCAATGCTCACCTTTATGAAAAGCTTGAACTTCGCATCTGCCGTCGTAGATCCCCATGGGCCACCCGCGGGTTCTTCGAGCTCCTCGAGACCTAAGGGGTTGGTGCTGACGACGTGGTGGGTCGTTATGTCGATGGTGCCACCCCCGCAGTCGAGGACCATCACCTTCATCCCGTTTTCCCACTTGTGGACATTGCGGTGGTGGTGTTCGACCGTGAGGCACGCGGCCTCTGGCTCCAGGCAAAGACGTAGATGCTGCACACATGAAAACAAAAGGAACGATTTCATTTGTAGTTTACATGATAGCAGGACATTTGCAACATTCCATAGTGCATCTTTGGCTGTTCCAGCCCTCTTGAGAGTAACTTCCAGCCCTCTTTTTAGAAACAACTTTCAAATCGTTGTCTCACAGGAAGCACTTCTCTCCCCAAGTATGGCAATATCAACTTGACAGTTCTCTACAGTGCGTCTGTACTACGCCCATCCATCCCCCATACCTCCATGTCATTCTCCCGTTGAATGAGGCCGGCCCTCAATGCTGCCGTGCGCATGAACGTCGTTCCGAAAGAGCTCCAAATGGCGGGAACGGTTAGCACCCAGCGTATGTCAAAAGCCTTTAGCGTGTGGCTGTCAGCCTTGTTCAGCCGGTTGATGACCACGTCCTTGATGTACTCGAGGGCCAGCGACACGACGTAGATCAGAGGAAGCCGCGTCTTCTGGTCCTCGGAGATACCCTCGGCGTCGTCTACGCTAGAACGCTTAGTGCCCTTTCGTCCACCCTTGAACAGCTCCATTTTGAAGTACTTGAAAAGGGCCAAATCGCTCTCAGCCTCGCCACCCTTCGTCCTAGCCTCCAGGTATTCTTGTTCGGCCCCATCTCCGAAGGTGACCATGCACCAGCCCCCGCTCTTCTTGGGCGCGCGTTTTAGTAGGATTGCCGTAGCGGTCTTCCTTTCGACCGAGACCTTGGATTCGTTCAGTCGGCCTGGCACCCCTGACAACAAGACGTTGGCGGGGTGACCGCACATAGATTTGGGAGGAGGCAAGCACATCGCAGTTTCTGTACGTATAGGTAACGACCACGATGGAGTCTTCGCGATACCCAGAAAATCGTCTGCACAACAACCACATGTAAATTTTCTGGTATTCCATGGGGTGCCGTGGAATATTCCATGGGGGTCCATGGATGCCATGGACCCCATGGAAACAATCCGTGTGATATTGCACGGAACATTTCACGGAGAATTCCATGGTCTTCCATGAAAAATTTCCATGGCTTCCTTGACAAAAATGCGGCTCTCCCTCTCGTGGTCTACGTGTAGTACCCCCGTACAGCGTGCAAGCGCGAGTAGGGTGTACACAGATGCACCGTTAACCCTCTGCAGGGCACGGTGCCCCATCAATACATGATAAGTAGGAATAAAAGTTTAAAATAGGATTTTGTTTAGTCTGGGGTGTGATCACTTCGAACTCCCCCCCGCCCCGAAATCCTCCCAGAAATGAAATTGGGCATGAATGTACCTACGGAAGGCAAGGTGCGGAATAACGATTTCGGGCACCCTTGGAATCGCTCATCATGCATATATATGCTCCGGACATTGATGCGAATATACATACCCATCCTGTACTTACCGAGAATAATATCATCACGCCCAGTGACGGTGTACGCGTACGCGGAACGGCTGGTACCGAGGTCGATGGCGGCTATGACGTCTCCAATCATTGTAGTTTTTCAGGCACCCAAGCAGAAGGCTCTTCAAGATGCCTTGAATGTTGAGCACTGATCTATCTCCGAGTACTCCCAAGGGGTCCTTCGGGGCCAATGACAACCGGAACGGCGAGGCTTTGTTAGTGTCATGCCAGTACAACAACACCAAAAAAATGGTAAACACCTGAAAAGTGGATCACCGGGATATGTCAGTTACAACAGAGAGTCGAGAGGAGGACAATCGAACCGTTTCGATCATTTTGCCGTGTGTGTACATCTCCGACACTAATGACAGTTTTGTTAAACCTCACATGGAACATCCATGGGTCACCCATGGGCCGCCCATGGGCAATTCGATCTAGAACTTCGCCACCGGCATATCAACCTAGAACCTAGCCACCACAGCGCCAATCTAGCACGTACGTATCGTGTGGGCTTGGGGTTAGGGTTAGGGTTAACCCATTTGCCGCTATAATGCCCGCTCCATAAGCAGATAATCTCTTGTTAAGAAGTACACTGGTTCCGTTGAAGGGCTCTCATTGGCTGCCCATGGGCTGCCCATGAGCACGCCCATGGATCAACCATGGGCTAACAAAGCGCCCATATGAGGCGACCACCTGCCCGACGCTTCGCATATGCAAGGCGTTCGAGGACACAGAGAATCGACCTTGAGGTTCGCAATCCGCGATATTGATGGTGCTGAACCCTGAGTGTATCTCTGCCTACTACATCGGCTAATCCGGTGAGGGGGGCCGCGAGGAGTGCGGAGAGCCAGAAAAAATGCGCCGCGTTTCGTGCAAGAAATGCGTCGCAATAGAGGAGAGACAGAGAGAGATCGGGGAAAATGTGAGACTCGAGAGAGAGAAACTGGGTGGGGTAAAATGTGGATGGACGGATAGAGAGCAGAGGAGAGACGGGGGAAGGGTTTCCGCAAGCGGGTGAGGCAGATGGATGCAGAGCAGCGATAAGACGTCAAGAAAGTAGAATGACAACAAAGCGCTCTCAATATCCCTTGGAGATGGATTGCAACTCTGTGAGCGGCCGAGAGAAGCCCATTGCAGCACTCCATGTAGAGAGTGCGAGCGAATTTTGTGCCTAACGGTCGTGAATTTTCTCATGTGTAAGAGAGTTGCAAGGTTCTTGGCGCTTTCTCGCCACCACTCAAAGTGGGCGATTCCAAGGCAAAGGTCAAGAGTGAAGGCAGGCACTTTTGGGTATCGTTGCGTTGAAGAGAACAATTTTTCAGTTTTTTTTTGTGTCGCCTGCCCCGCCGCCGCGATGACGAACTCGAGTAACCTACCGTGTACCTGGTGTAGGCCAGAACGAGGACGGGCGCACGGCCTTTGTTATGGGCCTGTCACTACAGTACATAGAGCAAAACGGGAGTCTCCCGCGCGTAACTGGAGGTTGAGTGCCATTAACGACAAAGACACAGAGTTCATTCACCCTGCCTGTCAGTCCGTCGTCCCTTGTAAATGATTTTTGGGGTTGTTGGTGCTTCGCGCCGCCGCCCGAAGAGAATCGACTGTCTTCTTGTATTCGTTTGCTCTGCAAAAACGCTCTGCACACAGTGCTGCGGCCAACCCGCAACAATTGAAGCGCCGTATTCAGCTATGTATTCAGCTGTGTAGACGGAAGTGCGTGCAGTCGAAGGTTTATGAACGAGTCCGGTATGTGGCGTGGTGTGGGGCTGGTAGGAGGAGGTGTGCCCATCGAGAGAGAGAGAGAGGGAGGGATTGCGCTCGGTGCGGTAGTCCTACAGTGCAACAGTAAAGAAGATTCGAATATATTCTTCATGTCCTTCCACAGGTGTATGTAGCGCAAGACTGATGATGAACGAGGTGAGCAGTCCGTACGGCGAAAGTATAGACAACTAGGGTTAAGGATTGGCCCCCCGCACCCCAATGGGGCTGTGGGCCAACATCCAGGACGGATGGTGGTGAGTGTCCGGGAGGACGGAAAGAAGAAGAAGAAGGGGAGAGGATTTGTAGGGGCGGGAAGAAGGGACGGTGTTGGGAGAGGCAAGAAAGTGGTGAAGAATTTCGGCACTCGACGAGCGCGCGGTCCCGTCGGGGGTGAAAGGGACATGTCAGTCCGTACACGGGTGGCCAAAGCAGGTTGTATCTGGTGCACAACCTCCCCACAACCTCGCTAGGGTCAGGTTGTACGCCGACATATGAAGCTAGCCCCGCATCACAGATTGCGACGTTGGTCCATTCAATAGGGCGGACGGGCAGCGTAGACTACATGTTGTCCAAGGTCGATCCCCAACGTCCCAACCTGACCCCGGGGAGGTTGGGCACCACTTACAACCTCCCTTTGGCCACCCGTGTAGTCTTGTCTATCGGAATCGAAAAGCAGAAAAATGGAGGTACACATTATGTACACAACGATGGAGAAGGCCGACGAGGAAGGTACGAAGAGAGGAAATTGCACCCCACGTTCGAAGTCGGTGTGAAAACCGTCGCAAGGAAGGAGTGCGAAGGGAACAGAAAAAAAAACGGAGACGTCGACGTTTGCGTCGTGGAACGATCCTTCCGTATATCGCAGGTACTCACCAATGCAAGACGGGGAGGTGAAGTACCCAACGTGAAAGCCAAAGCGCAGGTCATAACTGCATATGACTCATGCGCGGAGAAGTTACCACGGAGACTTATCAGCTACAAGTTTGAAGGCCGGCTTAGAAGGTTTGAAGACACAAACGCTTACGCGACGATGGCAAGCGCAACGTCAAAACTTCACCAGAAGAAAAGTGCATACAAAAAAAGAAAAGGCCGGATGCCGACCTATGGCTCTCTCGGAATGAAGGAATTCCCACATTTTCCAACAGGTAATCCGCAAGTATCGAGGAGGCCGACGACGATTAATGACACACATGTGGTACGCAAAGAAGGATAGGGGAAGGAAACCCAAGGGGAAAAAAATCGTACTTTAATGCAATCCTTCCTTACAACGCAGGTACTCACCAATGCAAGACGGGGAGGTGAAACACCCATCGTGAAAGTCAAAGCGCAGGTCATAACTGCATATGACTCATTCGCGGAGAAGTTAACACGGAGACTTATCAGGAAGAAGTTTGAAGGCCGGCTAAGAAGGTTTGATAAGCGACCATGACAACACAAGTACCTCGACACTCCCATCATGACTTCTATGTACAGTAGTTATACGATGTGGAAGATCCCCGAGGAGAGCCTTTGCGCGGCAACAACTACAGAGAGAGCGGGAGGTCTGCGTGTACCTGTTGGTGGACATGTGGCAGGCGCACGACACGCGAACGGATGTTTGCATCGCATAGTAATAATAGTAGTATGGCTCGCCGTCGCAGGAGGTATCACATCCAGTCATGGTCGTTGCCTGCCGTAATAGGCGGGCGTCGTCCGGCGTCTGGTCCACACTGCTGTGAAGCATCAACAAACAGTGATCGAGCTATCTACATACATATATGCCTGCATGTTTTTTTTTGCTCTCGCTGTTGCAGGCAAACTTGCTTCCATAAAGAACCCGTTTATTTTGTTTTCTTTCGAATTGCTTCATTATTTCTTCGGTTTCTAGGCTACGTGTTGGGGAGAGAGACGCACGAAACGCTCATCGTCTCTCCGGCCGCGTTAGCTGCAAAGGCCGGCGTCAACTCTTACAAATCCATCTCTCTCCCCACAAATACTAGCCGGGGGACTACGACTGCAAACGCAGGAGTCCCAAAACTGACCAAGTCCTCAAATGGTACACACCATTCTACAACACCTGACTAGATACCGAATATTCCCGAACTTATGCCCCCACCTTCGAAAGAAAAGGGATGGGAGGGCGGGATTTTCTAAACTGCCGCCGCTACTGCGTTAGGCGGCTGCTGCTGTCCTTCCGTTGCTTCACGCGCTCTGTAGCTGTCACACGTTACCCGACTTTGCTACAGCCCCTGCGTGGACTCGATCACGGAATGACACCCCCAACTATAGACTAATAATTCCAAACACCGTGACCCTGGGTTTCCGGTAGAAAATGAAGCCAAATTCTAATTCGACTGTTACAAAATAAACACCAGTTTATTCTATCTGCTTCGACGAACAAACCTTCCTTTTATTTTGTTTTCTTTCGAATTGCTTCATTATTTCTTCGGTTTCTAGGCTACGTGTTGGGGAGAGAGACGCACGAAACGCTCATCGTCTCTCCGGCCGCGTTAGCTGCAAAGGCCGGCGTCAACTCTTACAAATCCATCTCTCTCCCCACAAATACTAGCCGGGGGACTACGACTGCAAACGCAGGAGTCCCAAAACTGACCAAGTCCTCAAATGGTACACACCATTCTACAACACCCACATCGAGGTCAGTTTCTGGACGACTACCGAATAAGTCAACTATCCGTTCCCCCAGACGGTCCCCTCCCCCGGCTGTCTCGATACGATCCTACTGCCGTCTGTAAGTTTCCGTGACACTCGCCGCGAATCCTCTACATTGTTTCGCGCGTACGGCTTGTATGCATCCGACCTCCACTTCCCTTCTCTCTGAATCACTCGTTCTGCGATGTCTCCGCCCGATGCAAGAGCCGTCGCGCCTCCAATTCGCAACGAGTGCAACGCGTACTCCTGGGGGTTACGCCCCGACCTCGCTACCACTTCTCTGAGTGCACGGAGGGCAGCAGTATACCTCACTACTCTCACTGCTCTTCCACTACGGTACGAAGCCAACGGTGCGGAGTCAGGGAACGTCGCATGACACGATAACAGCTCCACCACAAGAGCCACCGCGCCACCGCGTGCTCTCACACCTGACTGCGGTCCGGTGACTTCGTCTCGCGTACGAACCCGTATGTTTCCTTTCTGCTCTTGATCGGCCTTGTGCCCTCTAAACCTCATTTCGACACGGTCTGCTCTACGATAGTGACTAAAGACTAATTGCGTCTCGCCAGCAAACAATGCTACGTCCGCCCTCGTAAGACAGTGTGCCTCATGCACCCTGCCCGCATCATTCGCGAACACCTCATCAGACCGTGTGATAAAGAGATAGGACAAGCACAGACA